AACCGTTCCAAAGTCTGATCCAAACCATACCACAAGTCCACATTGTCATCAACGGCCTAGAGCTAGCCTCTCAGTCTCCCGAAGGTGTTGGTATAGAGGATTACTACCTAAGTCGAAAAGAAGATGATGGTAAGTGCCTTTATGGTACACAATCTGGTCCATTATGAAGTTGCAAAGGTCGCCGACCATCTCTAAGAGCTCGTCATCCTTGTATGGGTTCCTTCTCGTGTCTTTATCTTTCTCCAACTACAAGAGAACAAGTTTAGGTTTACTATATCACAACATATGCGAACTTTTCATACTACGAGCGAAGAGGTTCAAACTTACCAGATTAGGGTTTTTGTTGTAGCCACCGATGGTACTCATCATAATACATGTGTAGTATCCATAATGTAGACTCCTAGGCTTCTGCTTGGGGCACTATGTGTTTTGCATATAGAGATGTTAAGTAATGCTATTGACAGACACGTAATATATGGAGTACCAAAGTAAATGACACTTACCGCACATAGAGTTTTGACATACAACTTTTCCTTCCTATTTGGATGATGCCTCCCCTTATGTTCTTGGACATAGTGCCTGAATGCCCTGTTCCAATGGTTTTAGCAAATGCAACTTGTTAGTATCCCACATTGAACTTACAAGTATGTATACAAACATAGTAGCTAAAATGAGGATTGTCAATATGTATACGTCTTGACAATCGCTATGAAGTCTTTGTATGTCTCGACTGGGAAATCCGCTGAATCAAAGACCCATGCCATACTATGTGAGAGCCAGACGCCTATGCAAATCCAGTGATCGCTGCATGAATTTAGTCATAGAAGAAACACATAAGCTCTTTTGCATCGAACAAAGTATATTGAACAAAGCTAAGTATACAGTCGAACTTACTTGAAGTGGTATGGTATCCATATATTATCGTGTTGTTGGAAAATTTTAAAACATAGGGCAATGTATGCCGCAACCTTGAGGGACTCTTCTAATATTTTCTTGTTCCTGATGTCCTCTTTCTCCTTAAGTGTCTTTCTAGCTCCTAGTTCTTTGCAATCTAGTTTCCACTCTTTAGGGTAATTAAAATTTGTTGATGCTATAGGTGAAGGGTCTATATACCCGTGTTTCAGAGTTGGCCTCTTTTTCACAAAGTCCGCTTGCATTCTACAAATCACGGCGCGGGTTAGTTACAACAAAATTAAAAGATTACATTCATATCATATCGAGAGGGCAAGGACTTACAGGCACCATATGTGAATTAGATTCATTTCCATTCGTTCGAGGTGGAAGCATGCCTAGATATCCTTAAACTCAACGGCAATTTGCCCACCTAGGGCTCCAAATGTGTCGGCAGGGATCCATGCTTGTAAGATTTCTAGTTCTGTTATCTGAGCACGCAAGTACCAATCGTGGAACTTTCTCATTCCACGTGGCAAGCACTGTATGACTCGGTTTTGTAGAAAGTTCTTGCCTTTCTCATATTTATCCGGGCAAACATTTGACCATTTGAGGTTATCAATAGCTGGATACTTGTTAAACCCTTTGTGCAGTTTGCTAGTGGTGCCCTCCTCAGAAGCTGGTGCTCTGAATTCTTTTACTTGGTTCTTAGGCTTGAACTGGTCATGGGCCATCCACTTGTGCACCAACGAGACGTCATTAATGCCCACATACAATGGCCTTATCTTGATTGGGATTTTGTTTTGAGCTTCCCATTCGGGCACGTCCTTGTCAACTTGTGCATCACCTGCTCCAGGGGCCACTTGTTCTTCACGTATCGGCTGTTCACGAGGCAATTGCTGTTCATGAGACACTTGTTGTTCATGTATCGGCTACGCTTGTTGAGAAGGATGTTGCATCTCATCATGCCTTTGCTCGGTACGAGCTGGAGAAGGACGTGGCATATCATCATGCCCATGCTCAATACGAGGTGGAGAAGGATGTGGCATGTCATCATGCCCTTACTCGGTACGAGGTGGAGAAGTCTCTAGCGTGTGGTGGTCATGGTCATGGGCCGGTGAGTATACCTCCCCATCCTCGACGGGTTGCTCCAGAGGATGAACTTCAGTCGGAGTTGGTGAAGATTCAGTCAATACAATGTCCCGTCTGTGCCAGAGGATGAACTGGTTCATGACATCTTTGAGTAACACGAGCCCCTCGGGAGTAGGGTGTTCTATCTTCCAAGTCATGAACTCGGGCTTCATGGTATGCACCTCGACCCGAGTGTAGTCCTGCGGGATGTCCCTATTGTGCCACGTGCCGCCCGGAGGATGTGCCACGCCCGTTGCCACCTCAATGATCACGTTTTGCCTGCCCATCGGAACCACCAATTTGCAACTGGTTGGCGCCCGTATGCGATCGATGGGGGTTTCGGTTGCATTAGAACCTTGACTGCTGGGAACATCCGGAGGGCTGCCAACTACCGCTAGTTCTCCGGGCGGCCCCATTGGTGTCTGTGGCTCCATCGTAGATAGTCCTTTCTCCACCAACATCTTTTCAACTAGAGCCTTCACTTGGCGCTCAAGATTAGACTCTCGGTCTCTGCCATATTTCTTGTACATGTGCCTCTCCTCTATGAATCCATGCTTCCAGGACATCCTCTTCCCTAGCCCCCTGGTGTGTCCTGTGTGCTCGGGGTTTCCCAAGGCAACGGTAAGCTCATCCCTCTCTCTGGAAGGGTTGAATGCCCTTTCTCCTTGTCTTCACAAAGTTTCAAAGATCTTTGATACTACCTCTCCGGTCTCCGGCTTAGCAAACTTGAGGCTACTACCGGATGAATCGACACTCCTCCGCGTATATCCACTGTTTAAGGCATGGCTTCAACTTTGGCACTTCCATATTCCTAGCAACTTCGCCCTCTGCGTCCATCTTCCTAAAGACCTCTTGCTTGCCAGCGTAGCCACCGAGGCCTAGACGAGGGTAGTGTTGGTTCTTCTTCGCCTGCTCGCTGTTACGGGCACTGAGGGCCAATGATGCCTCTGAAGTCTTCTCAGCCACGAGCTCCTCCCATTGACTAGGAGTTATGTTGCCATACTCATGGAAAGGAGTTAACTTCTGTTGGATAAAGTTCTTGTTCAGATCCGACCACCAACGTCGGAAGCTCTGCCCCATTATCTTAAAAGCATTTTGTTGCACCAACTCATGCGTTCCCTCCAGAAACCTGAAGTTCTGCTTCAGCTTCTCCCATAGGTCTACCTTTTGGCTCATAGGTACAAGATTCTAGCCACGGATAGCTAGGTTCAACTTATCTCTAACTACAAACCCAATGTGATTACGGAATTTCACCCTGTATGTATATGGCTCAAGGATCTACCCATCTGGCCCGACCTCCGTTATCACATAGCATGCCTTGTCGTGATATTGGTTTGGCTTTCTAATCCCCCCTTGTTTCCTCTTTGGCTGGGCAGTCTCAGTCGTGGTTGTGTCCTGAGGTTGTGGAGCGGAGGCCTCATTGTGAGTATCTGTGGCTCCTTCCTCTGATCTCCTTTGCCCCGCTACGTATTGTCCGGCAAGACAAGCCGGAGGCCGACGTCGTCTTTTCAGAGGTTGAGTAGGGACGACCTGTGTATCCGGCAGGTCAAAAGTGTTAGCAGAGGTAACATAAAGCCATAGCATTAGCCAAATTTACAAACTACTAAGGCTTTATCCGTACCTCATCGTTCGGATCAAAATCCTTATCCAACTCGTCCTCCGTTGGCCTCCGTCTGGGTTCTCGTGGGAAAGGATCCTCGGGACTTACATATCCCCCTGATGAGGTGTCGTCATCATCATCCCCTTCTTCGCCTTGGGCATCCTCTCCGCCTTCTCTTCCCTAGGCTCCCCCCACTGGATCCTCATCATCAACAAGGTCCTCCTGAGTAAGCATCACTTCTAGACCCTTTTCTAACTCGTTATCGAATTGCTCCTGAGTAAGTTGGTCATCTAGTTCTTGCTCTCCATGGGATGGCTGCTCATCATTCACGGGGCATCGGGATGCACTCTTTGATGTTCACGACATTTCGTGCCTTGTTCTAAGAGATGCAAGAAAAAAAGTAGTAGAAGTAGTAGTACCAGTGGTAGAAGTAGTAGTACTAGTAGTACAAGTAGTAGTACTAGTACTAGTACTAGTAGTAGTACTAGTAGTAGTAGTTGAAAGCACTATGTTGAATGATCTAGCAAATAATTGGCAAATATTGATTTGCTCTAGTGTTGAAAGCACTAAGAAAAATTTTAGAACAGAGTAAATATCAGTTAAGCATGGTTATGCATCTGTACATAAAAAGGTAATCACATTACAAAATATTATCTTCCATATTCTACTAGGTTAAATACATAATATGACATTGGTTTCTAGATCTACGCCCTAGTAGATTAAGAGATATTTTCCCCCAAGATATGCCATTAAATGGTGCATACAGGCCAGACAAAACTGAAGTGAAAACTATTGATTGGAATATGCCACATACAGTGATCCCCCACATATATTCCAATGATTTACACATGACCAGTGAAAAGGATACCAGCATACACTGAAGAGAGGTAATGTGATAAGCTCATGCAAACATGACCAGTGAAAAGGATTGGTCATATGGAAATAGCACCATTCAAAATTTCTAATCAACTTGCTTTTTCTTACCTCTCTCATGTATGTTGTTTCTCTCCGGCTGAGCTGTCCTATTCTTGTTCCCTATCATCCACATTGGCCAGTTCACTATTAGGAAGCCACTCATGGACCCGTCCCTTCTCTCTCAAGTTAGTAGTACATTGGCCTAGGTACTAACAACTCCTATTGGCAGGTTCAACAGAACCTAAAAGGCCAACCCAAAATACTTTCCTCGTTCAACAAAAATAGATGGCATCCATGTAACCTAAAACATCAACTCAAAATTGTACAGTGCAGCCTAAAACGAATTGGTTTCAGCTGTTGAGAATATATATGTTCTTCTGCCTGTCCTCACCCCTGCCCCTCCATAGCAGGGTGCAGGTTGATTAGAAGGATCCGACTGATGACATTTGAGAAGGTGGTAAATATGGAGGTCGAATGGTTTGATCACCCAGAAAATTCAAGTGGAGCAATCGGTGCAAGGCTGTCAGCTGATGCAGCGAAAGTTAGAGGACTTGTGGGAGACGCGCTTCAATTGGTTGTGCAAAACTCTTCGACATTAGTTGCTGGTTTGGTAATTGCATTTGTATCAAACTAGGAGCTATCCCTCATCATCTTAGCTTTAATACCACTCATTGGCCTAAATGGATGGATCCAGATGAAGTTTATTCAGGGTTTCAGTGCAGATGCAAAGGTCTATTCTCTCGTACTGAACTGCCTGTGCCTTAGATTTATTGTCTATTGCATCAGTCTTCATTTAGTTATTTGTGAATGCAGATGATGTATGAAGAGGCAAGCCAGGTGGCTAATGATGCAGTAAGCAGCATAAGAACAGTGGCCTCATTCTCAGCTGAAGAGAAGGTCATGGATTTGTACAAGAAGAAATGCGAAGGTCCCCTAAGAACAGGAATCAAGACAGGGATTATAAGTGGAATCGGTTTTGGAGTTTCCTTTTTCTTGCTATTTGGGGTATATGCAGCTAGCTTTTATGCTGGTGCTCGGCTTGTTGAAGACAGGAAGACAACCTTTCCTAAAGTTTTCAGGGTAAGTACTGATAAATTTTTTAACTTCGTCTGGCTTTCATATTAAGGAAGAAAGAAATGCTTGACAGGACTACATAAATGTGAAGTCAAAGCAACATGGTTTGGTTTATAATTTTTAAAAGGTGATTTGGAGTGAGTACCGTGTATCTATCCAATGAAGAGCTCTAAAAATTTGTCCTATATGCAGGTTTTTCTTGCTCTTGTAATGGCGGCAATTGAAGTGTCTCAATCAAGTACCCTTACATCGGATTCTTCCAAAGCAAAATCAGCTGCATCTTCTATATTTGCAATTGTAGACCGAAAATCGAGAATAGACCCAAGTGAGGATGCAGGGGTGACTGTTGAGACACTATGAGGAAATATCGAATTCTTGCATGTTAGTTTCAGATATCCAACCATGCCAGATGTTCAGATTTTCTGGGACCTTTGCTTGACAATTCATGCTGGAAAGGCAAGTGATCTTCTAATGTAACTCCTGTATTGAGTTAACAATGTTTATGATTATGAGTATAACAATTCTATTATTTGTTTTCAGACTGTTGCGCTTGTTGGAGAGAGTGGTAGTGGCAAATCAACAACAATTTCGTTGCTTCAGAGGTTCTATGACCCAGATGTAGGCCATATACTACTAGATGGTGTGGACATACAAAAGTTCCAGCTTAGGTGGTTAAGGCAACAAATGGGCCTGGTTAGTCAAGAGCCAGCTTTATTTAATGACACGATAAGGGCAAACATTGCCTATGGAAAAGATGGACAAGCAACAGAATCTGAGATCATATCTGCTGCAGAATTAGCAAATGCTCACAAATTTATCAGTTCGGCACTCTAGGTTAGTTTCTTTCATCTGATGTTGTCAAGAAATATTATATGTGGCTTTTCTATGCAATCAATCAAGCACCAAAAACTATTGCTGAGGGAAGTGTCTACCTGAAAAATGCAGGGGTATGACACAATGGTTGGAGAGCGTGGAGCTCAGTTGTTAGGAGGGCAGAAGCAGCGTGTGGCGATCGCTCGTGCAATCGTGAAGGACCCTAGGATCCTGCTTCTGGACGAAGCGACTAGTGCACTGGATGCTGAATCTGAGCGGATCGTCTAGGACGCACCGGACAGGGTGATGGTTATGGTTATGGTATAACCTCTGATGTTCTTGCTGTCGTTTCCCCCCTTTTATAGCTTGCATGGAACTAATGATGACCCTGCTCAAGAAAGAAAGAGCAGCAACGAAAGGTTCAATCTCCTCATGCGTATTTATTTACGTATCATCATCCCATAATAAGAAATCAATTGGAAATCAAATTAAGAAAAGGCCAAATTCAATCATTAGAATTTAGAAGTATATAAAACTGTAAGGACTAAACACATGGCTGTAAAACCTGAGATGAAATGCTGAAGAATGGCTTCTGCAGGCTATATCAGGTTGTAAATTCCAAGGTCTGGCCCAAAACAATGTGTTAGAATGTGTGAAGGAAATACTAAACCGAAACACGACTTTTTTTTAATAAGGAAAACACAACTTAAGGGGCATCGTGATCGACAACTGACTCTCAGAAACGAGTAAGTAACTAGTAATCCAAGTGACTCTCATAAAAATACTAATCCACCATCATTTTCAACATGGAGGGCTTGGCCACATTGAGGGATAGACAGCGAGCGTGCTTATTGGCCGGAGTAACTACCTTGTGGAACGCGAGGTTTTTGGCGTTGTCCGCCCCCGCGAGCGAGCACAGGCGGCGGATGACGAGCTCGGAGGAGTTGGCGAGGCTGTCGAGGACGACGACGCGAAAACCCGCGGTGAGCAGCTGCAGCACGGCGTGGCAAGGACGAGGTCGAGGTTGAAGTCCGAGATGGGACAGCCGGCCGCAGGCGAGCGCTCCCAAACCCTAGCCGCCGTCGCGGCCTGGGGAACGGCGGTGGATGGGGCGGGGGCGGCTGTTGGGGTCAGGGAGACAGTGGAGGAGGCGGTGGAGGGGTCAGGGAAGGGCAGGCGACGGCGGTGCAGGCGGCGCCGACGGCGAAATTGGACAGCCTGACGGTCCAAGTGTATGATTTCGCCCAAAGCGATTTCGGCCAAAGCGACGGTTACATGTAAATACCTCAGAGCCGCTGTAGGGGCGGCTGAGGTTATAAGCCGCCCCTACAGTTGAATTTTTCTTTCAAAATACCTCAGAGCCGCTGTAGGGGCGGCTGAGGTTATAAGCCGCCCCTACAGTTGTTTTTTTTTTCAAAATTCTAAATCAAAATTAATTATTCACATGTAAATAATAAATAATACAGTACAAAAATTTATAATTATTTTTTTATAGATATATTTACATATACAATAACTAAAACAACTACAACAGTTTAAAATTGTAAAATTGAACCTTTAAAAATGGGGGGGAATTAAATTTTAAAAAATTAAAATCAAAACTACTAAAATAATTTTGAGACATAAAATGATCTCAAAAGAAAATTTGATAAACATCAAAGTTGTAGAGGTCATGAAGATCTACAACTTTTATTTTGGTCATCTTATCATTTGATAAAATTTGAACCTTTCAAATTTGAAATTTTAAAAAATGACAAGTTCGAACCAAAATTTGAGACCCAAAATGATTTCAATATAAAAAGTGATGAATACCAAAGTTGTTCAACTCATTAATATATACAATTTTTATTTTAGTCATCTTGTCATTTGACAAAATTTGAACCTTTTAAATTTGAAATTTTAAAAAACAACAAGTTCGAACCAAAATTTGAGATCCAAATTGATTTCAACATAAAAAGTGATGAATACCAAAGTTGTTCAACTCATGAATATCTAGAACTTTTATTTTGGTCATTTCTTCATTTAACAAATTCTTAGCACACATTGTTCACTAATCCTATACATGTCTCGTATAGTTTATAAAATCTTATGAGAGATGTGTCACATTTGTGAACAATATCATTACCACTTTATCATATGAAGAAATGATCAATACAAAAGTTATAGATCTTGATGAGTTATTCAACTTTGGTATTTATCACTTTTCAGCTGAAATCATTTGGGGTACCAAAATCTTGTCTGAAGTTGTAATTTTTTAAAATTCAAAATTTAAATTGCTCAAACTTTTCATATGTATATATTGACAAAACCAACAAAATAAATTGATAGAGAATGATTTTAGAAAATTTTAGGAAAAAAATCATCAGATTTGTAGTTAGTATGAGGAAAAAAACTAGTTACAAAGTTGACCCACAGATTAAAAAAATCACACTATTCACTATGGTTACGTAAGAATCATCTTGAACAGTGTGATTTCTCTTTTTAATCTGTGGATAAACTTTGTAACTAGTTGTTCTTCCTCATACTAACTCCAAATGTGATGGTTTTTTTCCTAAAAATTTCTAAAATCATGCTTCAGCATTTAAGTTTGATCAAACTTGGATGTGACAATGTTTTATACATTTTAAAATTTGAAAATTGAAATTTGACAAGTTCAAACCAAATTTTCAAACCCTAAATAATTTTAGATGTAAAAGTGATGAATACAAAAGTTGTTCAACTCATCAAGATCTACAACTTTTAATTTGATTATCTTGTCATTTGACTAAATTTGAACCTTTTAAATTTTGAAATTTGAAAAAAGACAAGTTGAAACCATAATTTGGACCCCAAATCATTTCAACTGAAAAAGTAATGAATACCAAAGTTGAATAACTCATGGAGATCTACAACTTTTATTTTGGTAATTTCATAATTTGATAAATTCTTAGTACACATTGTTCACACAAACATATGTGAATGTAGTCTCAAACACACACACATAAATGTAGTTTCAAACACACATACATAAATGTAGTCTCACATACATGAATGTAGTCTCACACACACATACATGAATGTAGTCTCACACACACATACACAAATATAGTCTCACACACACATACATGAATGTAGTCTCACACACACATACATAAATATAGTCTCACGAACACTGACACACTTACATAAACTAGCTAGCCCACCGTGACAACTTTCCCCTTGACACCTTTTCGTTCCCATGGCAATACATCTTTGAGCAGGTTCTTTTCCACAGCCTCGATCTTCTTACAAAAGTCTATGAATAGCGGCATCTCATCGCACTTATTGTAAGCTTCAACATCGTCTACGCCATCAAATTCGATGATATGTTGTTTTACAGAGGCCACCACGTGCTTTGTCTTCTTCTTTGGGGGGAGGTTACTTTGCGGATCGAGCATATAGAAGACTTGTGCGACACGTTCAGCGAGCACCCAAGGGTCATCATGGTAGCCTATATTCTGGAGGTCGATGACTCTCTGTCGGATCTCATTGAATTGATGTTGCTTGATCCAGTGGCATCGAAACAGGGCCACCTTTATATCCCTTCCATAGTCAAGTTCCCATATATCTTCAATTATGCCAAAGTACAGGACCTTTCGCCCCACTCCGTCGAGAGCCTCTATTCAAACACCGCTGTTCTGATTCACAGATTTTCTGTCCTTTGTGTCGGTATAGTATGTGTATCCATTGATGTCATAAGCATTCCAAGACGTCACCTGTTTTGATGGCCCAGCCGCCAACCGACTGATGGTAATAGAATCTATGGTTTCTCTAGGCTGTATGTTCTGGTCCTTCAACCATGATGTCAGGCGTTGCTTATGCTATTTCATGACCCAATCATCTGAACGGCCATTCCTCTCGGCCATAATGATAGCCATGTGTTCATCAATGTACGGTTGCATCACTGCCATACTCTGCAAGACACTGTAATGCGCCTGACTCACCTCTCTGTAATCATTGTCGAGGAACACTTTCCTACCACTTGTGCCCTTCCCAGCTAGCCTTTCCTTGTGATGAGAATCGGGATTACCAATCCCTCTCTGTACTTTTAGCCACTCTTGGCAACACTCGATGAATTCTTTGGAATTGTAACCCTCTATCATGGAGCCCTCTGGGTGTGTTCGGTTATGCACGTATCGGCTTAGAACCGAATGAACCACTCATAGGACCACATTTCATGCAAGAAGCTAGGGCCCAGCGCCTCGATCTGATGAACCAGGTGAATCATGAGATGTACCATTATATCAAAAAAGCGGGAGGTAAACACATCTCTAGCTGGTTCTGGGTCTCCACCATGAATTCATGTAGGTCACTCAGCTCTTGCCTGTGAATCATCTTCTATGAGATCTTCGAAAAGAAGTAGCACATGCGGGTGATGGCCATCTTTAGGAACTCTGGCTTTATAGCCCTGATTGCAATTGGTAGGAACACTGTCAGCATCACATGATAATCGTGAGCCTTGCAGTATGTTAATGATAGGTCCTTCATCGACACTAGCTTCTTCAGGTTCGCCGAAAACCCAGTCGGCACTCTAACCCCCTAAGGAAATTGCATATAGCTCTCCTCTCCTCTAGGGTTAGGTTGAAGCTAGCCATGGGAAGACTATACTTGCCATTATCCTGCTGTACCGGCCAAAGCTCCCGTATCATGTTCAGCTGCACCATGTCTTTCCGTGATCTGAGATCATCCTTTGACTTGCATGTGTCCATCAAGGTAGCCATGAGACTCTTAAAGATATTCTTCTGCACGTGCATCGCATCAATGGCATGGGGGATCTCCAAGTCTGGCCAATAAGGTAGGTACTGAAAGAAGATCGATTGCTTCTTGAATGGTACGCCTTTGATGGGAGGTGTGCTTCTATCTCTCATCGTTCCATCCGGATTCTTCTTTCCATAGACGACATGTATGTTTTGGACCATTCTAAACACATGTTCTCCATTACGACGTCTCTCTGGAGGGGGTTCATCCTCTGGGATATTGCCATAGTATCTTAGTACAATTTGCCACGGTACTTGTGACCTGTCTTTAAAAAGCGTCGGTTCCTTATGTAAACTATCTTTCTGGATCCATCTAGGAACACCCATTTAGTACCATCCAAACAGACTAAGCATCCAGTCTTACCTTTGAACTGTCTAGACAGGGCAAACAGCGCGGGGTAATCATTGGTAGTAACAAATATTATTGCTTTGCATATGAAGTCCTCCCACCGGAACACATCGTACATTGGCTCCCCATACCTCCATAGCCTCTCCATTTCTTGCATCAGAGGCTCCAAGAACACGTCTATATCAATGCCTGGTTGTTTGGGGCCAGAGATAAGAATGGTGAGGAGAAGGTACTTCCTCTTCTGACACAAATACGTTGGGAGGTTGTATATGGTCAAGATAACTGGCCATGTGCTGTGGTCGGTCATCCTCTCATTGAAGGGATTTATTCCATCGGTGCTCAAGCCGAACCATACATTCCGTGGGTCATCACTGAATTCTGCTTTGTACTTGGCATCGAATGCTTGCCACTGGCTACAATCGGTCAGGTGTGCGATCGTATCATCATCCATCTTGCGCTCATCATCCCACCATGTCATCAGTGTGGCTTCCTTAGGGTTTAGGAACATACGCCTCAAGCGGTCGGTCACTGGCAAGTACCACATAACCAGGGCAGCAATTCTTCTCTTATTTGCATCGTTGCCTAATGGAGTTTCCTCTGGGGGCTAAGATTCTTGCACCACCTTCTTCTCACCCTTCTTCCTCTTTCCTGTGGAGGCTTCTACCCCACTTTGAAGGTCATTGTTCTTGTACCGACTAGCCCCACACCTAGGACATGTATCAAAAGTCTCGAACGATGTGCCACGCTGAAAAAGGATACAGTGGTTGGGGCATGCATGGATTTTTTCAACCCCCAATGTGAGTGGACTTATAACCTTCTTCGCTTGGTATGTGTTGGCGGGAACTATGTTCGGCCGTGGGAGCAACCGTGACATGAGGCACAACAGATCATCAAAACTGTAGTTCGACCAGTCGTACTTAGCCTTCAGGATGAGTAGCTCAAGCACAAAACGTAGTAGTGTGAAGTATGTCGAACAACCCTTCTCAGCATCATACACAGTCTTCTTCGATGCTTTTGTCACCCTCTCAGGATTTTCTAGACCTCTCTTACTCTTTTCTAATATTTCTGGTCCAAAGGCCCCAAGCATTTCGTCCAACTTGTCACCGTCATCTGCATCCCCCTCACGTGCTTCGCCATCATTGCTGGCACCACCAGCATCATCACCACCTTGTTCATTGCCAAAGCCACCATCTTATTGATTGCCAAAGCCACCACCTTGTTGATTGCCATAGTCACGATCCATTTGTTGCTCAAGATCGTCTGTGAATCAGGACAAGTATGCTTGGGTTTCAGCTTCATCAGCTAGATCATCGTCGCTGTCATCAACAACCACTGTTTCACCATGATGAATCCACACTGTGTAGTCCAGAACAAATCCTCTCCTAATCAGATGTTCTTTGATGGTACTCACATCTCGAAATGCAATAAGGTTCTTGCAATCTTTGCAGGAACAAATAATCATGTCACTATTCTCTTTCAACGTCGCTGCATGCTTCTCTGCGGCTTTGATGAATTTGTCCACCTCATCACGGAAAAGAGCGTCGTGTCTTAACGAACCATACATTTAAGAGTTCCTGTAGTCCATTTTATAGAAACAAAACAATCAAAGAAAGAATATTACTCGAGAATAATTATATATACCTGAGACACGCACCATGGTAGTAGAGGATAGTTAATTAATTGACTATTAATGCATAAATATTTTAAAATATAAATTAATTGGTTCAAATAAACAATTTCAAAGAAAACAATTAGCAACATTTAATATTTCATCCACTACCTTTCATGCAAACTCTATTTCAATTTCATAGTAGAGGATAATTAATTAATAGCCTATTTATCTATAACTAATTAAAAACACACATTATAGAAAGGAATCAAAATAAATATTAAATGATAATTAGTAGCCATGCTAGAGGATATTTTACACATTAGCAACAATTAAAATCTTACACATTCACCTACATGTAAACCCTAGTCACATAAAAAAAATTGAAAAAGAAAAAAAAACAAAATCCTAGATCTAGCTCTAGATATAGGGTTTCATGACACATGCATCAAACTTCACTAATACTACACTAAAATCAACAAAGATGTACTAACAAAGGGTGCAATCTTACTTCCCTACCTAATTTACCCTAATAGAGTGAAAATTAGGGTCCAATTTCACTCATAACTAGCTCAAGCTCCATGGAAGAGAGAGAAAACCAAAAATCAAATTACTCACTAACCAACGAATTAAACTTCAAATAAAGAGTTGGAGAAGCATTTTCTTACCTTTTAGAGCCTCTCCATCAAAGGATTTGAGATCAAAACCTCCCCCCTTAGTAGAGCAATTTTTAGGAGGAGCCAAAGGCCTCCCAACCTTTTTTTTGTAGAAGAGTGTGTCCCGAGGTGGAAGAAGAGGTGGCTGCTATTTATTCGTGCGCCATCAGTAGGGACGGCTAGTGATTCAGCCGCCCCTACAGTCGAACAGCAGGGGCGGCTGGTGGCAGCCGCCCCTACAGATCAGCCCCAACTGTAGGGGTAGCTCAGGTTACCAGCCGCTCCTACAGTGCCATCTATAGGGGCGGCTGGGCTGCTGGGGCCCGAGTACGCCCACTATAGGGGCGCCCCCAACCCCAGCCGCCCCTATAGTAAAATGCTCCCGTTCGTACTGTGCGAATCTAACGTAGTGAATTTGTGGGGCTAAGAGTGGATGGTCACATCAAAGGGGCACACTTTCTGGTTAACAATGATCATACTTAATTGAGTACTGGAAAATTGTTTGAGCCAAAAACTTAAACTGTTGCTGGGAACTAATCCAACAATAATTAAATTGTTCTATGTCCTGCATGGTTTGATATGCTAAATATACATCAACGACTAACCATAGTATACACAATAATTTTCGGTTACATAACCACAGAAGATTGCACACATTACCAATAAAATGAATCTGAGATCCTTGGCTTTAAATTCCCAAAATAGCACTGCTTTGCGGCATTTTGTATCATTGCTCGATTGCATAATCAGATTACAACATAACATCAGGTTTCACTTCTAAAACCAACCATGTGAGCCATTTACAATGTTATTAGCTCTAAGAAACAAGAGTACATTACCTGTTACTAATGCTGATAACAAAATGTTTCTTGTTCTTATCAGCCCTAGTAATGGTCCTACCTGCACCTGCAACCGTACACAAATGCCTACAGAATTAAAGGCAGATGTCTTTTGCATCCAAGAAAAAAGAATTAAAGACTTTTTCTTTTTTAGTTTCTGGCTTCTTTTATAAACAAGGGAATGCAAATTATAATGACAAATAACTGTTTTATCACACATAGCAACAGCTGACATGCCAGTAATATATAATGAATAAGTAAGATCACCTGCATCCCTATACAAGCAATATTCATTTGTATATATGTACATTGCAGCCCGCTCAGAATAGGTGAAGCAAATGAGGACTCATGCCTTAACTTTGATAGCAGCTCACACCTAGAAAAGTAGTCATGAATTATTTTTCATTAATGAAACAATAACTAAATGCTGGAACTCATTTTTCCTACATCCAGGGTCACTACCAAATCTAGTACAACTGCTGCATTAACAAGAGCTCTACTAAATCATATGAAAACAAAAGAGACTAGGCCATTAAGTATGTGATAGTCTGACTGAAACTAACCTTATAACCTTAACATGATTCAATTGGCACATGCCCTCACATCAGTAGAAAATCCAATCCCCTCGACGAGATGATCTCCAGCAACATTGGTGTTTAAATTGAGCACTAAAATAAAAGATTTGGTGCAAGAAAAAACATCAGGCTGATATAAATACTCGGTAACATAAATGCATAGTATACAGTTTCCAAGTTAAACTAAGTTAACATGGGGAATGCAATTTTACATGATAGAGTAAATCAGCAGCAGTAGCAGGCAAACAACAATCTTTTCTATTTCAATGTAGTTGCATTTGCACATACAGTAGTGCTAGTGGAGTAAGTACTATTATTGTTCTATCCTATAAATGGCACACGGAAAGAATGCCATGAATGCATAAACTTTGATGTAGTATCCCTGCAACCGAAAATAGAAGGTTTCCACTTTCCAGAAAAAATAACATTAGAAGTCATAGAGGAAATCAATTCTCTAAAAAGCATTATAACTTGCAGCATACCTTAGCACACGGAAAGTCATTTCTTAATTTCCAATTAGATGACACTTTTGGGTTAAAAATTACCAAACAGACTTATCAAAGAATTACTAATTCTATAAGTTCGTCAAGCCACGAAAGAATTACTAATTCTATAAGTTCGTCAAGCCACGAATAGCCATCACGTATCAGTTATCAATTCAATGCATTAGAGCAGATCTAAGTGGGGAAACGCATCCAGGCAACCTAAAGAGAAGGAATATCAACTGTATGGATGCAAATTTGATCATAGCAACTCCTGGAAGAAGTGCAAGCCTATGCTAGACTGCCAGAACAAGTTTATCTTATATAAACAGCACACTGTTTATCACCCGGCTGCCTTCGTGATAACTTCTTCACCAGAATTATAAGACAGAGTAGGCACGCCCACACCCATCTGATCCGTTTTCAATTTCAGTTCATAACCCCATCCGATCAGTTTTGAGTTCATACCCTCATCTTATCAGTTTCCATTCACACGTGAATCGAAAATAAATTGTAGGGGAAGCTGTCGAGCACAACAGCAACTAGGAAGCACACAAGAGCAAAAGAAAAACAGCCAATGCTTATGTTAATTCAACAACAGAAGTCACTAGTACCAACCTAAGTGGGTAATCCAAAGGCACGCCGTTTAAGCATGAATTCCAACCTCTCTTATTGCAATAGTGTTGTGTGGACATTTACAGATCATCTGGAATTTCAGAACACCCAAAACTGTTCTCTGTATGAGAAACCACAATTTTCCCCAATCTACACACCTGCACGACGGGGAACTGGAGCAACCACCTCCGACGGCCAAAATAGTGCCGACGAAGATGGACCCAAGCACGGCGCCTTGGAACCTGAGCCAAGCGACGGCCTCCCACCCAACGTCCTCGGGTAGCATCGCCGCGGCGGCGCCCACGCAGAGCGTGCCGGCCGCGGCAAAGACGGCGGTCGCGAGTGCGCTCCGCGGCAGCGGGGGAGGCCGCGGGTGCGGGGACTCGGTGAGGAGGAGCGCGAGCGCGAGGAGCCCCGTGGCGGCGAAAGCGAGGAACGGCTCGAGCGCGAGGAGGAAACCGATGGGGATGCCGAGGAGCGGGTGGCGGCGGCCGCGCGGGGACACCGCGAGGTGGAGCGCCGAAGCGGCGGCCGAGACCACGGCTTGGAAGGCGAAGACGGCGAGCCACCGCTGGCCGACGGCGTCGCGGTGCGCGCACTAGATCTGGGAAAGAGAGGGCCAGCTGTAACACTCTGGCTGTTGCGAGCTCGTTTAGCACCACGATTTAAGCCTAAATAAAATTTCTGAAACGATTTTCTCGGATTTTAAAATTTAACTTATATTTAAAAGTGTCACTTTTGGCGAATTATAATGAACAACGGGTTAATTAGTTCCTAAATGTTTTATTTCTATGAGTTAGTATGACTTATGGATTAGTGCGTAAAAATGCCTGATAGCAAATAAATAGCGAATGGCTTGTTTATTTGATTAAGCTTGAAAAAAACAATTTTTATAAACAAAATTTGTTGAAAGTAAAATTTGCTAAATAATAAAATCTTAGAGTTTTAGTTATGCTTGTTAATGCATAAAGATGTTTAGAAAAGGAATATTTGGAAGCTAAAATGACATAAAATATAAACAGGAAAAATCATATCATCAGCAGGATATGAACATCGTGAATATGTTGGTACGCTTGTTTAAGTGTCAACGTGATATTGTTGGTTTAAAAATAATGACGAGAGTACTGTTGACCATTCAGCTCGCCTACCTCGCCGGTACGACGCGCGCGTTAATTAATGATTGGCCAGCTGACTGCCTTCGCGTCCCGCCTAGTTCGAAGTCGTCATGTCCGTGCGCTAGTGTGACGACGGTGGTGCGTCCCCATTCTCTGAATCAGTCGTCGAAGTTATTCACGCTCGCGCGCGTTGTCGGGTCCGTCGCCGTGTCGCTGCTCCCTCTTCCTCGCGTCGTTTCTCAGCGAGCGTCTTAAAGAAAGTTGGTCGAGCTACTGTTGTCATGTACTGCTTTCTCCCTTTCTTTTTCTGTAGTCGAGGAGAGGTAGCCCAGTTCCTCCTCGCTCGTCCCGCTGGCCATCTCTTTCTCTGCTGGCCTCCACGGTGCCTCTGGTAGTCAGAATCCAGTATAGACAACGCATTTATCGTCCCTGCCGCCCATGCTGCTCGTGCGCTCTCTCTTGCTAAGTGACAGCTGGTGGTCTTGTCTGGATTTTTTAATGGGGGCACCAGCAGTCCTGCAGCGGCCCATCTTTTTGAGCACCAGCAGCCGGTGCATCTTTACAGCACCAGCAACCGAGCCATCGCAGCTGCAATAGGCCCGTTCTTCCTTGCCTCCGACTTCATCCTGCACCGGCGCTCGCTCGGAACCCCGGCGTCCGCGCCCTGCACACTAGTGTCAGCAGCACAGCCCTTCCCTTCCCGCTCCTCGCCACCGCATAGCGCCCAGCCGAGCCGCAATCGCCCGCACCTACGGCTGTGACGGCCACAGCACCACGCCGCCTCCACGACCCGCTCCACCTCCGTGAACTTATAGGAATTTCCGTGATAAATCGATGATAGTATTGACTCTGAAAATTTTACGGTAAATTACTAATATTATTAGCTACTCACTGTAATTTTTGTAGCTCCTGAATAATTAGCTTGCAAGAAAAATAATGATGCCCTATTTTAGATAAAGATTAAATCGATAGAATGAAATAAAGAAACACCTTGGGATTGTATAACTAAACCTTTGTTGGGCAATAACGCCTTATTCGCCAACTTGGATACGTAGCTTAGTACGTTAGTCGTTAGAACTAGCTCGTTAACTTGAGAGACGTAAATCGTATTTTACGAGTCACGATTTCAGTTGATTAATTACGTCTTTGCATTGCATCGCATTGCATATCATAATAGGGACGTCGATGGATCACGGAGTCATCGGGAGTTGCTAGAGAATGGTGCCTTTGGAGATCGTGTTGCCATGACGGAAAGCTAACTTTTGATTAAATCTTACCCAGGCAAGCCCCGGTGCATAACCCCTACTTTTCTGCACTTTAAATTATATTTGTGCATTAAGTTTTAAGGAGTTGAATGAAACCCACTTGCATATATATATCCTTATCCTATGAGTCTTACTAGTATGACAGGATCGTGTAGATTGCTATGCTACAGGACTCCGATAGAAGTTGGGTGATTGTCTATCACTCATGAGAGATAGGAAATATATTATTGTATTATTATCACTTGGAATATATAAATGGTGGAAAGGAAAATTGTGATCGGGCAGGGAAATGGTTTGGGTATTGGTGGGTGTAAGAGGTTGTGTCCTACGGCCACGGGGCATAGCTTGGTTACACTGTTTTCCCTGTCTATGTCGGTTAAGGACCGGCCGTTGCATAAGACGCTAGGCAAGTCATAGACTTATTATCCCAAGCACATACTTGGGTATGGGCGCTTGGAAGACTTGTTACTCTCTTGTCATGGGTTCCGGCTCTTTTTGGACCGACTGTCATGGTGGTTTTTAGGTTATGAGGTCCTTGCACCGCACTGATTCCGGGACTCAGAGGCGGGGGCTTGGAGTCCCTGTTTGGACGGGGACCTGGACCCCGTGACAGAAGGGTAGTGGGTTGGTCCTGATTGTGCCCGGGGTACAAATAGGCGTGTGTTTTTGAGGTACCCAGCTAGGGGCATTGATTCGTGAATCGCCAAGTGATCCGGTACGACTTGTCTTAACTCTAGCACCGTAGTAAGAACTGAAAGATGAAGGATGGAAAAAGGAAATCTGATTGTTTACCACCTACTTGAAAGTAGTACAGGTGCTTACATAGAATGGTTAGTTAATGAACTAATGCACTACTAATAAAAAACTAATATAAGGACGCACATTTAGTAATGCTTCCTGCAGATGCAATAACCCACAAGCCAGATAGCTTTGCATATCCTTGGAGTCTTTTTTTTTCTTTGTCGGATAAGTCTTGCTGAGTACAATTGAGTACTCAATATTTTATTTCCCCCTATTGCAGGTGATAGGTGGATGCTAGAGTTGACCCTTGTGTGTGGATTCCTCCTGATAGGCTCAGAGAGGATTTTCTTTACGCTGCGATCATAGTTTTTATTTATAACTCTCACCAAATGTTTTATTAAATGAAAGTTTTATAATCTGTTGTCGTAGTTTATATATCACTATTTCATCATGTCATAAATAGATGTTTAATTCTGCTGTAACTCTATTCATATGTTTATATTCCGTTGTTCAATTAAATTGTTCATAACTCTGATAATATGATTACATTCTGCTGCTATAACAATAAATACTATACTCTGATGTTGTATTAAAAGTGATGTTAGAAATGGTTAAGAATGATGTAAGCTTTATTCTCTCATTTGTGATCCTGATGAAAAAATGTGGATTTTCGGGTTCTCCCCTGGGGTGTGCCCGACGGAACTGCGTAATTTAGTGTTCTCCTTCGAGTGCTTAGTGTCTAATGGAAGACGAGCAGTCCTAGGAGGCATCAGATTAGGTGGTTCTGCCACAGGTGGTATCAGAGCATAAATGAGGAAATAAAGCTTCTAAAACCTTTCCTAAAATAAAATCTGACAACAAATTCTTTTCAAAAGAATAGGATGTTTGTATGCGAAGTTATATAAGTAGATCTATTACTATGGTTATGTATCCATGATAGGTGACACTCTGCTGACTTAGATAGGCTTAATCAAGTTTTCTACAGGTACACTGACCCGAGCATAGTCCGATAGTATCGACTAGCTACAGGGAGAGAACGATGCGTCAAAAATCTAAGAACGGTTGCCCAATATGATGGCAACAGTGAAAAGATGTATATGACGTGCATTCATGCATATCCTATTTGTGCATTGTAGCGCTCGTATTACTTACAGACACGCCATCCATAGGTGTCACGCGTGTCATATTGTGTACGACTGACTCGTTCCTGTTCTAGAGTTACTGCTAAACTGTGGCTTCGTGTTTCTCGTTCGTCATGATTCATGCCTGTCGTGACCCACGTCTCCCCATACCCCTTTTCTGCCCTCTTGCCGGACCCTTGCCCTGCAGTCGTACTAGTCAGTAATGGCCTCGGACATCGCTCGCCTCGAACGCGTGAAGGATTTGGTCAATTCATTCGTAGTGACCCCGTGCAGGAACCCTGGTGGACTGCGCTAGGACCACTGAACGCTCTGCCTTTATAAGCAGAGCCTGACTTAGCCATTGGTACCACCACTCGGCGCACTTTAGCTCGCTTAGCTTTTCTTTTGAGCAATCTTTTCGCACAGCCTTCCTTGCAACCACCGCTAGAAATGGCAGGAGCCTAGGTTAGTAGTTACTGCCTGAACGTTGAGGGTTTTCCCAGAATCCTACATGCCACCCTGTAAAAAGCTCGGAGTCAGAGATCATCCCGAGTATGAGGGCCGTGACTATGAGGAGCATGGCACCGAGCGGTGTGAGGTTACCGTCAACATCAAGAAGAGTGAAGAGTTCCCCAACCTCACTAAAGTCTGGAGTGTGACCGCAACCGGGTTTTGCTTCGTCGACACCTACCAGGTTGTGGCCCGCAAGGCCTTGCGGTACCTCTGCCAGATCTATGAAGAGCCCATTGCCCGTACCCCCATGAGGTTCTTTCCACCTTTGGACAAGAATCGATGGGCATGGAGGGCTCGCATGGAGGCTTTGCAAGGGCGGGATGCGCAAGAGGACAGTCCAGCCATGGTGCACTTGACCACGTACCTGCTTGCTCTGGATGAGCAATATAACTGGCAAGCCTCGAAGATGAGGAAGTGTCTCCATCAAGCCAAGGAAGCTGAGATCTTCACCCAGATGCTCCAGGTGCAGCTCGTCGAAGCGCATGCCAGTGCTGGAGCTGTTGAGAGCCAGGAGACTACCATGTCGGAGGCTCTGAAGGAGGCTAAAGACTGGCATGTTCATCAGCTGGGTGAGGTCTATCTTATCACTAGGGCCAAGCAGAGGACGCTGGCTGCTGAAAGATAGGATGCCCCAATCTTGGAAGGGATCCCTGTCACCCGCTAGAAAGAAGGAGAACCGGTGTTGCAGTGCCGCCAGCACCTCCACCCTCGAAAGTGTCAGAAGTAGAACCCTTAGTTCCTCTCACTCAGCCATTGCCAAGAGAAGAGACAAATCCGTAGCCAGGGTGGTAGAAGAATCCGTCGAGCTCGAGAATGAAGATGCGTGGTCTAAAGTAGATTAGTTGCT